ATGTATATATAATATATATCATATATTATGTATATAAATATAACGAGACTTATATGAGCTTTGTTCATGAACATTAACGAGCCTAAACGAGCTCATGTTCACGAGCCTATGCGAGCCGAGCCCAATGTTGCTTAAGCTCGGCTCGTTTACTAAACGAGCCTAAAAATTGGGCTCGAGCTCGGCCTGTTTGCTTAACCAACGAGCCCGAGCCGAGTCCTTAACGAGCCGAGCCTGAACTTTCCATGAACAGCTTGGTTCATTTACAGCCCTATGTGAGACATAAGTTACCGAGTAGGGATTGTGTGTTTCCAGTATTTAGTACTAGCGGTGATTGCTAGGGGTATGTCTTGGACTGTAAGTTTGAGGATGATTAGGTGATGTGATATAAGTCATGTATTCAGATGTTTTTATAGGAGTTTGATTCAAGCAGTGTCTTGAGGACAAGTGTCAATGTCGCCTTAGAACTACGTGATTAGAGAAAGTAAATGTGGGATTCCGTTGAGGAATAATGGGAATGATTGATTTTGGTTTTGATATTTCAGGCATGAGATAGTCGTATTGTGTGTTTGACAAGGTAAGAATTGAATCGAATGATGTTATGGAGTTGTCTACTTGGTATAGGTGTTGTGAGATATTGGAGAGCTTTCATACGAGTTAATGATTGTGATATTTGGTGCCGTATTGCTTTTAGTTTGTTATGGGTTGTGCGATTAAGGCATGATTGGGATATTTAAAGTAAGGATGTGATTGTATAGCTGCTAAGGATTACGTAGAGTGATGGATTATTAGTGAGTGGATCTCATGGTTGTTTTGTGGACTGTGTGAGATTGTGTTTGAGGTTTGGACTTGAGAACAAGAATGACATTTGTGTTGAGACCGGATCGATGATGAGAATAGTCGGCTAACCATTTCTCTTGAATCAATCCCTCTTTAGCACGATGTCGGGTCAAAGGTCAATAATTGTTTCGATTTGTCATGGATAGTGAGAACATGGTATTGCGTGTTATGTCGGTGTGACAGTGCGGATTCGGGTGGTTTGTCTCAGGTGACGAGGTGTTGTTAGGTAGGACCAAGTGTCCGATAAAGGGGTTTGCGGTATGATCGTCGATTATTGAAGATCTTGTTTTAAGGATGTGTGACTTGGGTATAGGACAGTACATTTTATTATTCTGGTGACTCATGATTATGTAGTCATTCGGAGATTAGTTGTTTGGTTATCTTGAAGTTGTTTAGTATGATGATGGTTGTGTAGTGCAGTTAGTGGTCGCTGGTGCAGTTATATTATGGTGTAGCTATGCGTTAGATAACGAGTGTTTGGTTTGACAGGAATGTGTAGATTTGAGTTTGAGCTTGATTATGAGATGGACGGGCTTCCTAGTCTGACATTTTGTGTATCCTTTAAAGGATGAGTCGTGATTGGATGTCATCATGTTCGGTGGACTGGTGACCATTTTTCTTTCGGGTTTCAGAGTCTTGCGTAGTAGTGTAGAGTGGATCGATGTCCGTTTTGAGCTAGATATAAAATTCAGTTGGTTTGTATTATGATGTTGTGAGTGATGAGTACCCTCATAGGGTGGTGAGCATTGGGTTTTAGTGGCAGTAATGTGTGATTGCCTATTAGCCTCTGGTGTCAAAGGCAATAAGATTGTTGAGCTTATAGTCCTGCAGTTTAGTGAAGTGTTTATCGGGAAGTCGGTTACTGTGGGTCTCCTTCTTTAAGGAGGGTAGATTTTGAGAACGAAATCTTTTTAAGGAGGGTAGATTGTAATATTTCTGATTTTTCTAATTTTTCATTTTCTGGGATTTTTTTATTTTCTAGATTATTTTAATTCTTATCTAGTTTTGCGTGCCAAACACTGTGGGGTGTGCCGGATGAGTTCCTAGAGTTGATTGAAGCATTTCCTTGAGTTCATGATTCTTAGAAATGTATCGTTTGCAATTTTGGCATTTTTTTAGTTTTTCAGGACCTACTACCGGAGTGTTGAGTACGGGGATTATTTTTCGGGTCCATTGCGTTTCATACATTATTATTTGATGAATTTTACGTGGCTATGTGCTTATACATGTGTTGTGGTGGGTTTAGTGTATGTACATATATATATATATATATATAAGATAGTTTTATTAGAATCGTGGGACCCGCCATTATTTCATTCATTATAATGACCCAAGGGGTCATTACAGACTCATATTATTTCCTCTGTTGCGTCCTTTCTCTTTCCCTATGTAATTCATTTTTTTTTTTTTTTTTTGGTTGCAACTAAAGCTTTGATCTACACTTAACCTTTAAGAATTAGACTTTGCCACTGAAGGCAAAGTCGACGAGCGCGTCAAGGCCTACGTTTTGATGGAGCAAAGTGCCGTTTGGACCACCTCTGTGATATTCGAATTTGGGGGTTTTGTGGATTTTGCTCTTCATTTGTGAGGTAGGGGTTTCTAATACATACACTATTTGAACTTGGTGAATTATTTCTTTATAATTTGGTCTAGCATACTTTAATTTCATAAAATTGTTTATGGTTATGACAGTTTTATGTGTTAGATGTGATAGTTGTGTATTATTTGAAAATATGAGTTCATATACATGCTTAATTGAGTTATATGAAAGAGCTTGTTAAATTCAAGGTGTCACATGCTTGTGTTGTTTATGTGCTATAACTATGATATGAATTATATGAAATTATTATGTGATTTATTCCCCAAAACATGCTATATTGATATTGTTGCGGTTGAATGAAAATCATGGAAAATCATGTATTGTCATGGCATTAAAGGACATGGTACATTCATGCATGGCATTAGGCATGAAAAAGGAAGAATTGTTTTAAAAAGAAAATGAATTATTTTTGGGGAAAATGCTTTTGAAAAGTGTTTGCGAAAACTCGGACGCTTAGGTGTCGTCTAGTGGTTCGTGACGTTAGTGTGGTCTAGAGGAGACTAGGGAGAGACCCTAGCGTGGTTGAGCTACCTAGGCCCTTTAACGACGCCTTGGAGTTGCCATGTGGTCGGGGATAGTTAGCCAATCCTCCTCTCGTGATGCCATGGGTCGGATTGCAATAACGGTTTAAAAAAGTGAAACGGTATTGTTTCAGAAATGGGGAGCGACATTTCATGACATTGCATTTCATTGGCATACGTTGTGGGTTTGGTGGTCGGATGACTGCTATACATTCTTGTTATGGTTGTTGTTGTTTTACTTACTTTCCGAGGTATGATCTTGTTCACTTGTATTCTATTCTTTATGTGGATTCACGGGGTGATAAGAGGTGTGTCTTAGACACTTCATACTGAGCAGCTAGTTCACCCCATCATATTGTTACGTTTTTCAGGTCACGGGAAGGAAGTGGTGCACGACGCTCTTCCACAAGTTTAAATGGGTTGCTGGACTGTTTTGACATCTTTTGTATTTGTGATCTCATTTTTTCGTGTAAGCCTTGGGATGACATGTATATCGTGTATCGACGTTAGAATTAACTATAGTGCCCTTAGATGACATCGGGTTCGGGTAAGGATATGATTAGTGATTTGGACCATCAGGTTCGGGTCGTTACAAGTTTATTCTATTGCATTCATTACTTTTAAGTGAATTTCAATTCAGCCAGCTTCCTTTATAGTCCATATCAATTTAGCGAATTCTTTTAAATTGCTTTACTTTACATTGCATTTATTTTCTTTTAAACACTACTATATAAAAAAGTCTTTGCATCAAGGCAGAAAAAGAATCCAGTTGAGAGTTCTTTCTATTCTCTCTCTCTTACACAATCGCCTCAAGTCAGCCACTAAAAAGAAATAGTTTGGTGTTCAAATAATTTTTTGAGTATTTACATACTTTGGCACGCCCGCAAACTCCATCGGCCGTGTGAGCCAAAAAAACCATATCCCTTATTGGTTCTTAGAGAAGGTCAAATAAACCTTCCAATGCATACACTTTAACAAGTTCTCTGCAACTCCATTGCTTAATTTCTCTCTCTCATTCAGTTATATATATATATATATATATATATAAATATACAGTAGTATTCAATTACTCTTGGGAGCAAGAAATTATATACTCACTTTCAATTGTAGCCTTAGGATCTAATCCTACGGCAATTAGTTAATTAACTTTTATTTTCTTTATTTTAAGAAACTTATATTTTTTTCCATACCATTAAATATCGTTAAAGAAAAATGACATAACTAGACAATTTATTAAAAGAAATAAGAATAAAATAATTTGGTTACTTTTTGCTAAATTTGCAAGCATCCACTTAGAAGTAAAATTAATCTAAAATTAAAAGTCATCATTTTTAGTTTCTTTTCACACTTTATCAATTCTATATACTAAATGATTTTACATAAATAGAGAACATAATTCTCCATTAGAATACTATAAATTAAGGACCTTGAAAAAACTTAGGATTTGCAATTATATTATATATATATTTTGGCATACATTTTGGCATACTTTAATCGATCAACACTTTGAACATTTAATTTGCCAAAAAAATAAAAAATAAAAAAACACTGAGAAAATTTAGATGGATATATAATAATATATTAAGAGTTGTTTTGCATCACCTTTCTAAAAATTTTGTGAAGCCAATAGCAGTCTCCTAATTCTAAATTAATTGCTGAACAAATTCAAAATATTTTATTAAGCTGAGTATAAAACATGGATCAATCTTAAAATTTGAGTTTTGATTATAATCAATACTTCTCAAGCAATCTTTATTTAATGGCCATTTTGTTTACCTCTTTTGATTAATTTTATTTAGTTTTCGTTGCACAATCAGTAGTGATAGGGTAAAAAAATTTTAAGTTTCTTAAAATAAAGAAAATAAAAATTAATTAATTAATTGCCGTAGGTTATAATTAAAAGTGAGTATATAATTTATGAAATTGAACACTATCGTGTAAATATATATATTTAAATATGTATAATATGCTGTATTTTGTTCCCCTCTCTAATATGTATGTATATATATAATATGTATGTATAATATACTGTAAATGAGTTTTTTTTATTTCTCCCAACAACAATTTTGGACCCAAATTAGCAGTTAGTGACCATGGCCTTCTATTAAATTGGAACACCAAACAGATCCAATTTGTTTGGGGTAGGAGAGAGGAGGAGGAAAATACGATTAGGGTGCTTATATCTTATCTACACGCGTGTCCTCCCTCGACTTGTTGATAGAGATGAAATCGATATCCAGTTTTGATGTTGTTTGTGAATTAAGTTTTTGCGCATATAGTGTTGTTGAATTCAAAATATTGCTTCTTATCCCACTCATTCCGACATTGAATCTCAGTTCTCAATATTTATTTGGCTTTTGAACAACCAGATAGATTTTGCTTTTCTTCTGTTTGATCGTATTTTTGGTGTATTTGGTTTTTTCAACATTTTTCCAGGTGCCAAAGACTGGGAAAGGCGAAAAGAAAGCTCATCCCATTATTAGCAATATGTTTCGCTGATGAGATTCTGTGATCCCAGAAACCCTAAGTGAGAGGTACTTGGTTCTCTCTATTTTTTTATTGATTCAACATTTGAGAATTCAAACTGTTCTTTTTTTATTCGTGTGTGTGTGTGTGTATGTGTATGTGTGTTTGTGTTTATGTTATAATCTCTTTTAATTCTGCTATATTTAACAAATAACTGTTCACAACGAGATTGAGTTTTACTCCATTACAGTACATTTTTAAGTAATTGGTCTGAACTAGTTACTTGTTTTGATGGAGTGTTTGCAAGTGAAATCCTATTTCTGAAGCCTTTGTGAAACACATTAGCCATAAAACATAGAAGGAATGTGTTATACTTTTGATTAGTAATTGTTTATTTCTTTTACAATCAGATAACCCATCTCAGATAAACCATTGGGAAGTTAGATTCATCATTTTTACTTGATTATCTTTTGAACTATATACTCATAACCAACACACACATACACACGCAGAGTAAACACTTGGAGAAATTTCACAAACATATCATTGAAGACTTATTATGTTCTGCATTACATTGTCTTATGAAAAATAAATAAATAAATAAACAAAAAATTGATCTTTCAGTTTGGTGGTACAATCATGTACGTGGACCCACCTCTAGCCTCAAAGTTTTGTTGTCAGGACGACAAATGCATCTAGAGTTTCAACTAGTCGAATGAGAAGTTAAGGCAAAGAAAGGAAATTGGTTCATTATGGCATGGCTAAGCTTTATTAGGCTAACTTCAGACAAAGTGTTCTTTATTTTGCTTTTAAGATGCTTGCGTTGTTAAAAAGGTATTTACCTGCTATGGAGTTAGCACCCTAACACTGGATTTATGTGTGTTAGGCCACCTTGAAATCAATGTTTTAGCAAAATGCGGGGTTTTAAATACTTATCAAAAAAAAAAAAAAAATGCGGGGTTTTAAATAATTTTTGGAAATGAATTTTGAAAAGACAATTTTGTTAGTAACTTCAGGTTAAGTCTACATTATTGAGGCTCAAGAAATTGGGATTTGATTATGTTAGAGGAAGTATTAGACTATTAGGCACCCCTAAAGCATCTTTGACGTGTCACGGTTACCACAATCTAAAATGATATTCCCAAATGTCTTTATCCTCAAAAAATTTCTGAAAGTTTTCTTTGATTTCTGGAAAAAAAAAAAGAGAAAAGGTTTTTGGGTTTTGAAAACAGATCTAACGCCCTGTCCAGTAGCATCTCAAAATCTGCCTAGGGTGGGTTCTAAACATAGTTCGCTGTATTGGTTGAGTCTTTGCGATTCAGCTGAGTTGTAATGGATTTGGCCAAGTCTCAAGGGAATCGGCCAAGTCAGCAAATCTCATGATGGTTAAGGTCGAGAAATTTCATGACCTCGATAAGCAATTCCATTACGTTACGCTGATATGCCCCTAGAGCCGTTACACTCTGGAAATTTCATGGTTCTAAATTAACTACTTGTCCCTTGGCCATTTGTTTTTAAAAATCTGTAAAAATCAGAGTTTTTGACCTTCTCATGTTCATTGTTTTGAAAAATGAGTTTGGTTTCATAAAAACAGGGTCGAGTAAAAGTGTGTGATAGGTAAGGAATACGCTAATAGAGATGTAGGGGCCAGATGCAGGAATTTCATAGTACTGGCAAAGTAGTTGGAAAGCTTGGTCTTGCCTGACTCATCGTCCTTAACTTTACTGACCCTCTCTTACCATAGTCTTTCATTCAATTGTGGCTTTTGTGAAATAAAATGGCTGTGAAATTATGAAAATGTGTTTTGATGAGAAAAAGTTATAATTTTGAAAATTGTGAGAGGATGAATGAGATTCGGATCCTTCCATTGTTTTTTTTATAGGATTGAGGGTAATACCCTATGAAGACTACACCATAGGTAATATTCCTCTAAAATTAGGTGTCCTCCTTTGGACTTCCATGGACGAACCAGGACAGTATAAACTTGGACTAGAAACATGAAGAAACCAGTCAAATGCATATGGTGCAAAGAAAGGCATTGAAGTATAGAATGCACAGTATGTTACTAAATAATGAACTTAGTGAATCATCTAAGGTTGTTCATTCTTAAATCACTGAGCTAAATTTACAAATCTTCAGATAAAGTTCTACTATATTTTAAGCATATCTAAAGTTGGAGTGTGTTATATATTAACCATCCTACTTTGATTCTGTTCCAATGAATAGAAATGTATTGAAGTGTGTTATATATTAATCCTCCTCCTTTGGTTTTGTTGCAATGAATATAAATGTAGGTTGCTTTTAATACTGCGAAAAAAAGTATGGCTTTCTTAAAGTGGACATTTTTCTTGTTATGCACAATAATATAATATAGCTTTTGAAGGGAGTTACTTTCTGAAATTTAGGATTGTCTTTATGTCATATTCTTATCTCTACTCATAAAGGCCATTACCTAACCTTTGACAATTACAACCTAGCTATGTAGCCTATGTGTATTACTTAATCACAATAACTTACCGTTGTAGTAATGATACAGGCTTTATCTTATCTTCCCTCTCTCTCTCTCTATATATATATATATATTTTTTTTTTTTTCATTGTGGCTTGGCAAAAAAACAATGACATAGGATTTGGGTAACAAATTTGATATATATTATTTGTTTTTGATCTTTTATAAGGTGCTTTCATTCTTCCATTTTATGGTTTTTAATGTTTATTATGAACCTCCTTTATCAGAAATGCTTGCTTTCCTTTCCATGATACAGATGCATATTTATGGATATTTACGTATATATAACAGATTGGGGAAAGAGGGAGAGATGGGTTCCCTTTCATACACACACACAGATTTGCAGTATCAAATTTGATGCTACAAAATTTTAGCAAGGTAAGCTTTAATGGCTTCAGTTGATTTATGCAGTTTTAAAGTCTAAGGGAATTTCATAAATGAAAAGAGTTCAATGTTGTGGTTCATTTTTGAATAATATCGGAAGTTCAATGTAAGGTTGATCATGGAAATAATTAGGACACAGTATATTCTGCTAAAATAAAAAGCTTATGCAGTGCCTAAATGAGATATTGAAAGGCTGATTCCAGTGATTTGGGTTTATGAATTTCTGGGAGGTTGGGTTGGGAAGGACCTGGTCAGGGGCAGCATAGTAATTTTAAGCTTTCAAGACCTGGGATGGTGAAGGGACTAAATTCTGGTGTATGTCAGTGTTCCTATAGCTTTCCTTACAGGCAACTTTCTGCATTTGTGGCCATGCTTGATGAGTAAATTGACTTATATTTTACCCTGATTAACTAGGAAAATAACTAAATAAGTCAGGCTGATGGCACTTCTCAGCAACTCCGAGGAGGAAACTCTTGTCGGTTGTTCTGTTTGGTCACAAATGCATCTTAGATTGCTAGTATGAACTAAAGGCATCTTAGATTGCACAACACACATGCAAATATCTTGTTCATTTGGACTCGGGCGTCTATGAAGTTTTTTGTTGAATCTTCTTCTCTGTTGGATTGTATGACTGCAGAGGGAAATTTTGTAGAGCTTACTCAGGTATGTTCATAAATATGGGTGAGTCTCGCTGTTAACTTGTTGCTCTAGTAAGTCTTAAAGAGATTTTTTACTTTCCCAAGAAACTAACAAAAAATGATCAAAATTTAAAATAAAAAAAATGAAAAAAAAAAAGAAAGAAAGAAAGAAGAGAAAACTTTGCACTTGAAAAGTATTGAAATTGCATTGCTCACCTTTGGAAAATTACAGTGAAGTGTAGATATCTCTTTCTTCCCCTCACTCATTCACCCACACACACCTTATATATACTTTATAGTTCCTATACCCATATGTGCAAGTGCTACAATGTTCAAATTTATAAACTTAAACAAGAATGCTAGCGGCATGATTGTTCAATATTACCTGCATTGTTACTCTCCATGTTCCTTCCAACAAAGTAGCTTGTAGACACATTTGCGGATTATGTATAACCTTGCTCTCCTCTCTTTCAGAAACTCACTTCTTGGTACCTGAAATCTGGATTGCCTTTTCTGGGAAGAAGCTGAGGATTCCATGGACAGAAATTCTTTCCTCTAGGTTTTTTCCTGTGTCACAACCCCTTGTATTGCGTTTTTTTTATCAGCTTTTGTAGAGTTTTATATCCTATTAGTAACTTCTTTGGAATCAGAGATTTATCAACGAAAGAAAAAGAAGTCAGAAGCCTGTAGTCCACTGGGTTGTTGGCAGTTAACCAATGGATTGCTTCTCTTCTTCCAAGTGCCATCTTTTGCTAGCCTGTCCTATAAGCCGCACTTCGAGGTTAATTGTCTTTTGGACCTACCATTAATTAAGCTTCCTGGATTTCTGATCTCACCTTTGAAAAAATTACAGTAAGTGCATTAACTCTCTCAAATTTCAGTGCTCTCTTAACTCTTAATGATGTTAGAAGAAGGTTGTCCTCATTGGATTATAATGAATTAGACAAGGGCCATTTCTTTCACTGGCTTATAATAAAAATTATTCAAAAATCATTTTAACCAACAACATTTGATGGGATGATTTGTTTTCCTTTAGAAACTACGGAGTACTTTTTATTTTTTTATTTTCCTTTCTTCCTTTCTTTCTTGTGGCATCATATTAGTTTCTTCCCATTGTGCTCGCTTATTCAAACTTTGCAAAACTAGGGTTAGGGTTTATCTAATTTGTTTTCTTTATTATAGTACTGTAGTTCATTTGATTTGCTTTCATATTTAATGCCATTTCTGGTTTCAAAATTAGTGTTCTCTTGTATGTTGTATTATTATTCACCTTGAGAGAGGACAGGGAAAACAAAGTGGCATAATTTTGAAAATTTTCTTGCTATTTAGTTTCCTGTTTGTAATGCTCCGATGATGAGGTTTATCACATGCTTCGTAATATCGTTCCAATTTCTGAAGCTTTATTGGAATTGATAGAGCTTTGTGGAACAGAAGGGACATCTGAGGAGCATATGATATATCAATATATATATATATATTCCTCCTGTGCATTGTCATGTTAAAAATAATTCGAGGATAGAGATGCTGCACTAGCGTCAGTGTGGTATTTGTGCGCGCGGGTGCGTGAGATATAATAGGAGAGGAGAGAAAAGAAAAGAAAAGAAAAGAAAAAATTAGTTATGAATCATGATTTATGAAAAAAAATATAGTATTCATGTTTAAAAATGATAGTGGGGGGAAATAAAGGAAGGGATTGTTTTATTTTGTGACTGATAAGGCTAAAACTGTGATTCACTTGTAACTAAAAAAGGAACAAAACTGATAATTACCAACTTACTTATCCTTTCTTTCCTTTAAAAATATGGAAGGAAGGGAAAGGGAAAGAATAGAGGAGGGAAGAAGAGTTCTGCCAATTCCTTGAAGACATCATTACTGGTGGAAGGAAAAATATTGAAAATCATATGTTACTATTATTATTATTTTTAAATAATAACTGGTTTGTCCCTTCCGCTAAAACAATACAAAAATGTTATTTTTCTTCTTTTCATCGCCAATTACTCCACTTTCCTTTTCCAAGAGGATGAAGAAATTTTCAATAATTTATATATATATATATATATATATATATATATTTCTTTTCTTCAGGATCACTTGTGTGAGATAAGTCTCCAAAAAATATAAAAAAAATAGAAGCAAGCGACACAATAAAACCATTTTAAGTCCCATAGTCGTAAGAATTGCATTCCTTTGCATCCACACGGAGTTTATATCCCATTCATTTTATTTTTTATTTAACAATTTATTAATAATTAAAAATGCTTCAACCTAGTGACTGTAATTAAAAAAACAAAGAACAAAGAAGCAAAATATGTAATTAGATATCGCCTTTGTTGGTTGGTTCAGAACTATTGGAACTTGATCTTAAATCATGTTATTGAGAGAGTCGTATTATTTGTTAATATCCTATAAACGGTAACATCTTTCAAGAGGATTATAACTTCAAAACTCAAAAGTAAATATTGGGTACCCTATATAATGTAGGCCAACCCGATTAGATGTGGAAGATCAAAAAAAAGAAAAAAGCCTCGGATCAACAGGTTAACTGGTGCGGACCCAATGATAGTTGGACTCTGGTTGATGGGTGTTGGGCCTGTCTTTGCCCAAGTTTACCTAAATTCGAGTTGCTGTCGGGTTGGGGTCGCCCTGGTTGGGGCCTGCCCAACTTACACCCCATTAAGAACTAATTGACTTCTTTAATCAATTAAATGGTGATCAAATCATCGTAATTTTTTAATACCTACATACCCGGGAAAAAAAATCATCTCTAGTTGGACGTCGTCTAGTGAGCATCTAACAGTGGTGATTAACGCCACTTTTTTAACATATTCTTGTCATCGCCAAGTTAGTAAATGAAGAAAGAAATTTACTCAACTACACTTTGTTTTACCATATTTACGAATACCAATCTATACGTTATACTTTATACAATATATTATACAAAGTATATTATTTACCATTCAACTTTACTTTTTGAATGAAATTAAAATATTTTTTTTTACTTCTTCTTTTTTGCATTAGAAAATAAATCGTTCTAACTCTCGTAAGTCTTCTTTATTATTTTATTGTTCCCTCTAACTAGTATATCATTTGTTCTTCTTCGATCCCAAATTTGATTAAAAGCTGAAGGATTGTTCGTATCAAAGAGAATGATTCACAAATTTACCTTTTGATCAAAATAAGAATTTTTTTTTTTTTTTAATTGTTCTTCTTCTGATTTGCATCGTTTTCCTATAATTCTTTTTCTGTTACGCATCTGGTTTTTTTTTTTTTTGTGGATGTTCAAATTTTGATCAACTGGGCCCATGAAGTGAAAATCAAATTCATTAAATAATAGATATGTTGTATATGAAAGTTGTATGTATATATTAGAAGCTTGGTAAATATTAGTATGAATTTAATTCAACTCAACTGTCAAGTCAACTTTTTTACCCCCTCATTTGATCAATTCAGTGAGAGAATAATTGGAGAGGATTTTTTTTTCCCTAGATACCCATACAAGGAATTGTAAGATAATCATTGTAGTGCTGTGAAAGTTAACAAAGAGAAGGTTAGATGTTGTTGCTCACTTCTCTTTCCCTCCCCATCTCTTATTACCACACTCAATTCACTTCAGGGTCAAGTGAGATTCCCATGTGGTCCCCTGCAATGTGTTGTAAGTGGTCTATTTTCGGCCATGTCATTCTTCATTTAAAAGACATTGAGATCGCGTTTGGTAATTACACTATTATTTATAAGTAACATTTCACCACCATTTATAAGTAACATCATAAGAGTCTAAAAAGTAACATCACCATTTGTAAGAGGGTAACATCACCACTTAAAAAGTAAAAGTTATTGACAGGAAATACCTCATAAAGTAAAAACCATCTTCACCCTTAAAATAAGGTATGCACATAATGCAAATTAAGTAATGTCACATATAAACGTAACTCAATTCAACATATCATTTATGTTATTATTTGAAATTAAAATATTTTAAAAACACTTTAACATGTTAATTTAAATAATTTAAACCAAAATTAAAGTCACTTGAATTAACTTTGGACAACAAACAAAACACTTATTGTCCAAAAATAATAAAAAGAGTCACATTTTTTTTTTTTGTCCCTTTCAAATATTAAAAAAAATACACATAGGTATAAATTATTTAAATATCTTTAAATTTTTTTTGGCAATGTTTAATATTAATTGTCACACTCCACCTTCACCATCAAAAGAAAAATTTTGGTAAAGTTTAATATTAATTACCACACTCACCACCTTATCATCAAAAAGGTATTCACATAGTGCTGAAAAATTAATAGTCACGTATAAATTTAACTCAATTCAATATATTATTTATATATTTTTTAAGTTAAATTTTTTAAGTTAAATTTTACAAATGGTAATGTTACTTTTTAGATTCATATGATGTTACTTATAAATGGTGGTAAAATGTTACTTATAAATGATGGTGTAATTGCCAAATACGGTCTCAAGAGCTATTATATGAAGAAGCACGTGACCAAATATAGACCACTTAGGAGCTCACTGCAGGGGACTGCATGGGAATCCACTTTAGAGGATTCACGCCCCCAAATGAGCCCTTTAAATTAGGTTGTTCGCGACAATTGCTCTAGTTATGTAAGGCCAATCTAAAAGTGAACGAACATGTGAGAGGGTTATTTCTACTCTCCACAATTGCTTAATTAGATAAGGCCAATCTAGAACTCAAGAATATTTGATTGTATCCACTTTAGATATGGAACAGCGGTTGACTTGCTTGATTTTGGTGCTTTGCAAGTTTAAGGTTTGGGTTTCGAGTTCCCGTTGGGTGTTCTTTGTGACTAGTCTCCATTATCCCTGCAGTGATTTATCCTGCTCCGGATGGCGAAACGCCCTTCCAAATTCTCAGGGATTAGTCGAGTTGTTGAGGGGCCCTCAAGTTCGTGTCTTCCCGGAGACCGGGTTAATTAAATTTTTTTTTTTTTGATTGTAAACTGCTTGGCCTAAGTCAGCTTGGCGCCAAACTTGGACTTGTCTTGGCACGTCTGCACCCATCAAATTACAACTTTATCCTGGGGACACACTAAGCCAAACAATTCCATAGACAAAAATTCCTTCCTCTAGATTTTTCTTTCTGGCAGAATCCCTTGTGCTGTGTTTTTCTAAACTTATTGTCATGTTATCTCAAGCTGAAGGGAGTTTGCGCTTGGGCAGGAGGAATTTGTGTGGCATCTGTTTGGCATATGTTAAGAGTTGGTTCTATGGTTTTCTACACTTGTGTAGACAATTGTGAAGAGTTGGAGGTACCTAAAAAGTTGTTGAAATATAAAGAGTAGAGATTATTATAGAGAATTATAGAGTTACGAAGAGCAGTAGATTTTCTTTAGAGTTTGAGGAGGCCCAGGACGACATGGGCCGGATCTGACTTGCGAGCACGACATCCGGTCCGTACAGCTGGGTCAGCCCATCAAAGGTGATCAGGACTTATGGAGGAACAGGCCCAGATCCAGCAATCCGTCAATATTTGTAAATATCTTGTAAATATCTTGTAGATATCTTGTAAATATCTATAAATAAGGGAAGGAATGGAAAGAAGAGGGGAATCTTTTGGTTGAAGTGTAAGAATTCTAGAGAGAGAAAGAGGGAATGAATTTCTTGCATCTTCAATTGGCGCCGTCTGTGGGAATCGCATGGAAGTTTGGTTGATCAATGAGGAATATCGAGTGGATTCAGACCAATTCGGTTGATCGAGACTCGATCTTTGGGATTTGGATCCAGATCTGAGCGATTGTGACCTACTCTGAAGGAATTACAATTCTTGAAGCTTTGGCAGAAGTGGCTTCAGATCTACGCAACAACGAGTTGTTCGATTGTGGCAGGATCTGACGGATTTAGAGTTCAGACAAGTCAGATCTCGTAAACGGTGAGCATAATTCGGAGAATTCGAAACCAGATCTGAAAAATTCCCACTCACGAA